CATCATCATCATAAGCATCAGCATCAACATCAGCATCAGCATCAACATCAGCGTTAACATCAGCATCATCAATAGCATCAGCATCAGCATCAGCACCAGCACCAAGACCAGCATCTTCATCGCCAGCATCATCATCAGCGTCGTCGTCACCAGCATCGTCAGCATCGCTATCATCATCATCGTTATCATCATCAACAGCACCAGCATCACCATCATCATCATCATCGGCATCATCATCATCATCATCATCGTCAACATCATCATCATAACCATCAGCATCACCATCCGCAACAGCAGCAGCAGCAACATGATCGTCATCATCAGCAGCATCGGCATCATCAGCAGCATCACCATCGTCATCATCATCGTCAGCCTCATCATGATAAACATCATCATCAGCCGCAACAGCAGCATCATAATCACAATCATCAGCAGCAGCATCCGCATCATCATCATCGTCGTCGTTGCCATCGTTATCATCAGCATCAGCACTATCATCAGAGTCAGTATCATCACCATAACCCTCATCATCATGATCAGCAGCAGCATCCTCACCACTGTCACCATCAACATCATGACTAGCATCATCATCATCAGCAGCACCAGCATCAGCAGCACCATCGGTACCATCACCATTCATCACGACCATCGTCGTCAGCATCAGCATCCTCACCAGCAGCAGCATCACATCAGCATCAGCATCAGCATCAGCATCCTCAGTATCGGCAGCATAATCATCATCATCATCATCATCAGCAGCAGCATCATCATCAGCACCAGCATCACCATCATCATCAGCAGCATCCTCACCATCGTCATCATCAGCATCATACATACTATCATATAAAAACATCATGATCCTCACCAGCCGCAGAATCACCATGCTCAGCATTAGCAGAATCGTCATCATCAGCAGCATCAGCATCAGCATCAGCATCATCGTAAGCAGCAGCATCATCGGTACCATCTGCAGCATCAGCATCATCATCATCATCATCATCATCATCATCATCATCATCAGTATCAGCATCCCCATCATCGTGATCATCATCAGCAGCGTCATCATCTTCATCATCATAATCAGCAGCAGCATCACCATCATCATCAGCAGCACAATCGTCGTCATCAGCATCAACAGCAACATCAGCATCATGATCATCGACAGCAGCATCATTATCGCCACCGTCAGCCGCATCATCATCACCATCATCATCATCATCATCATCATCATCATCATCATCATCATCATCATCATCATCATCATCATGATCATCGTCATCGTCATCGTCATCGTCATCATCAGCAGCCTCGTCATCGTTATCGTCATCGCCATCGCCATCGTCATCGTCATCGCCATCGTCATCAGCAGCGCAGCAGCAGCAGCACCACCACCACCACCACCATCGTCATCATCCTCGTCATCAGCAGCAGCAGCAACAGCGGCAGCATCGTAAGCAGCAGCATCCTCCCCGTGGCGGAGCAGGAGGACGATTGGAAAGGCTCGGGGCTGCGCACGGGCAGCACCCACAGGCTATGTCCAGTCCGCCTCAGCAAGCCCCCAGGACCGTCCAGGACTGCCTCGGCACCCCTCGCCGCCTTCGGCGGCGCCGCTGCGATGCTGCTCCGCCCGCCCCGCTGGAGAAAGACCAGCGCCCAACAAGAGGCACCGGCCAAAGAACAGCTTCGGGGGCGCGCGAGGCCCGAGACACTGCAATTTACGCCGCCCAGAGCGCCCGACGGTGGACGTCGCGGCTGCCGAAGGGTGCTTGCTCCGCGTGTCGCGGCGGTGGCCCAGGCGACACGACATGCCCTGCAAGCGGATAGCATATCTGGGTGGCAGAAGCAGGCAGACCGCCCGAGACATGGCGCGAACGACGGGGTGACAGCAGATTACCTCGTTGTGTCATGCGAACACCCCCCGCCATCCCTGTCAATAAACATATCAAACTACACGTTGCGGCAAAATCTAAGGTTATGCCCTTGTGGCAGGGACGGCGGGGGTGCCAGCATATGGCCTGCTGCGCATGACTATCATCCGCGTCGGATAAGAATGCTAACTGCATGTCGCTGCTAATTCTGGATCATGCGCAGGCACACTGCGATGACGTTGAATTGGGATTTGATAGGGGGCCGCGGGGCTGCCGGCACGTTGCCTGCTGTGTGCAGGCACACGAGACATCATGATGGCCATTCCGCCACGATGGTTCATTGCTGTTCGACAACGCTGCTGGAGGCCGACATGTGTCCAGATGTGCGCGGGCGCACCTGGCACACTCTGCGCGTGCCCCGAACGTGGCGCACCTGACGCGGCTAGAGTATACCGCAACGTTTTCGCACGTTGAGCACGTGGCGCATCTGGCGCTCCAGGCGTGCCTGGCACGCTTGGGCCTCAGAGGCGCCTGGCGTACCCAGTGCGCGCGGCGCGCCTGGCACGCGTGGCGCACCACGCTCCAGCGTCGCGCAGCGGGGCGTCGATTGGTTCCCAGCAGCTGCCCATCCAAAGACGAGTGCTGAACCTGCTGAGACTCGGGTATTACCCATGTGCTGGGAGGGCGGGTGGGAGTGTGGGGCCAAACAGTTGACGTCTGGGAGCAGCGCCTTGACCTCTCCCCCGTATCCCCTCTCCCTGGATCTGGAGGGGGGGGGGACGCGAGCCAAGATGGCCCAAGAGGCCCCCAGATAGCTCAGACGACCTCTGCGATCGCACAAAATAGTGCAAGATGGCTCAAGATAGCTTCCAACATGCCTCCAAGAGGCCACGAGACCGCCCCAAGGCAGCTCCAGGTGGCCACGGAGCCTCCCACGGACCCCCCCGAGAGGCCAAAACCCGTCCCAAACCTCAGGAGGTTCATATTGTTTGTCGTCTTGCCGTTTCGCTTCCGATGGGCTCATTAGGCCTCAAGACGGCCCCTAGATCTGCTAAGAGAGCCCAAAGAGGGGCCCAACACGGCCCCAAGAGCGCCCGAGAGCTCCCCAGGAATGCCCCGAAAGGGCACCAAGAGGCGAGTTTGAGGGCCCAGGTGGTGGGGCTGGCATAAAGAAACACATGTTCTGTGATCAATGGCTTCCAAAATTTTCCCAAGAGGCCTCCAAGGTCACAGAGAGGGCCCCCAGAGAGCTCAAGAGGCTGTCAAAATGGCCCAAGATGGCTCCAAGTGGCCCCTCGAAGTCTCTAATGCCACAAATGTTGGCCGCCGCCCTGCTTCACTATCTGCTGACCTCCGACTCTCCTCTGGCTAGACAATTCGCCTGAGCATTGTTTCTAGATGGGCTGGTGGGGATGCGCGAAGCGTAAGAATTTCTGAAGCACCAGCGGGGGTCAGAATTTGAAGGATTGATGCAGCCAAGCAAACTCCTTCGAATGTGTCCGCTGCCCCAACATCGATTGGACCCGCGGGGGGTTAGGGTTCGCGAGTAGTCGCAGAGTTTTGCTGTGGGCCAGTGCAAGACAAGCTGCAAAAGCGACTGCAGGAGAGGAACATATTAAGAAAGAGGTGTCCACGAGGCCATCGCCGAACTCGGCATCTCCCGCGGCACAAATCCACAAGCTCGCAATTAAGGCGCTCCAAACTCTAAAAAGGCTCGTGGCAGGAGCGAGATGTTCAAACCAACCCCGGCAGGATCCAGCAGAGAAGCAGCAAGCATGGCCGGCTCCACCAGCCTTCTCCCGAAGTCGGACAGCACGGCTGCGCCGTGGGACGAGCGACTCAGCAGGTCAAAATCTGAGCAGTCGAGCAAGATTTGGTCCTCCTCCTTTCTCTCCTAATCTTCTTCCGTACTTTTCCTCCCCATCTCATCCTTCCCCCTCGCATACTGTTCCTGTTCCTCTTCACCCTACTCCGAATGGTGCGAGGATTCGTCTTCATGTGAGCGCGTGCCATCCACCCCACTCATACCCCAATCCCTCGACTCCCACCTTTGTTCGTCTATGAGCGTACCCCATTTGAGGGGGAAGGGGGGTCGTTTTTTTATACCAGGTCCTGGGTAAATGCCGACAGGGTAAGACAGGCGGGCCGGGCAGGCTGACTCCAGCCGACGAGTCGGGCGGGCGTTGGAAGCGGACAGGGGGTCTGCGCAGGATAGGGCCTTAGCAAATCGACCAAGACAGGGGAGGACGAGGGCACATCTGGTCAACATGGGCACCCGGACCCCTCCCGGGGTCGACACGGACAGGCTGTTCCAGCAGCGCCCAGCCGCGGCGACGAGAGGGGGCCCCCTTCTCCCCCCCACACTCGAGCCCGCTTCGTGTCACTCGCGATAACGCCCGTGACTGGGCCCGCCACCGCACCCTCCCACACCCCCCCCTTGTCGCGCCACGATTCGCGCCAGCGCCGTGTGACAATTCGCCATTCCCCACACGGTGCCAGCGCGCATCGCGCGACGTCACCACCCCCCCTCCCTCCTCCCCCCTCCCCTCTTCCCCCGGTCACGCCCGTTATCGCCATGGGGACAACGAAAAATCCCCTGCTGGACGGAACCAATGCTGGGCCACCTCAGCCCTGGGGCCGAGCCCGCTGCGCTGCTGGCTGCGGCGCCTCTGCGCGCAAGGGGGGGGGGGGGGGGGCGAGGGCCGTGCCGCGAAAAATCACGACACGGCGCCCTAGACCCCATCCTTCTGCAGCACTGTTCGAGCCAGATCAGTCTGTCATGGTCCTCAGGGGTGTGCGCGGGGGGTGCTGAGGGGATAAGGGGCTTATCAGTGGATGCCAAGGCGGGTTTCATCTGGCCTAAACTATCTCAGGAACGGGCTACGAATGCCCTGGGTGGCTCAGGAAGGTCAGGTCACTCCGCTAAGTGGGCGGAGCCCACTCGGCCCGGATCGCCACCCCCAGGATAAGCCACTTGAGGCCTTTGTAGCCCACTTCTGAGCTAGGGTAGGGCGGAGTATGATGACCCAGCTTGGCGTCCGCTGATTAGTCCCCCATCTACCCAAAAGCGTGTTCATCTCTTAGGGGCACATCTTTTACTTCCGCCGCCTTCCGCCGAACTTCCGCCGGCTTCCGCCGGCTTCCGCCAGCGGAGGCGGCCTCGTTTTACTTCGGCCGACCTCCCGCCGCCCTTCCGCCGCCTTCCGCCGCAGAAGAGTTGACAACTCCTTCGATCCTCGAAGGCAGGGCCCTTCCTGGAACGCCCCACCTGGCCCCTGGCAGCTCCCGCGCCCGTCCCGGTGGGGCCCGAGACCCGGCGAGGGCGCCGGGCGTGGACGGGGTGCCTCCTCGCCCCGCTCTCTCGGGGCCCGCGGGCGGGCCGAGCGGGCGGGCGCTGCAGCGCGGGCGGGCGGCCCTCTTTACTTCCAGCAGCAGGCGAGCAAAGGGGGACCAAGACGTACCGGGACCGCTGCGCTCCTTCTCGGGTCGGGCGAAAGGGGGGGATAGCAAAGGGGGAGGTTGAGAATCAGCTCACGCAGCTGATTTTCCCGGCGCCTCCAGGTGCCGGAGGCGGCCATGTATCGAGGAATGGGCCCCTCGGTGAGACCGAAACCAGCTGCATGCAGCAAATTTCGTAACCCCCCCTTTCCCAATCCCCCCCGTTCGCCCCGCCCGACCTTCCCAGACGTCTCCGGGGGATCATCTGGAGGCAGGGCAGTCCCCTTTCAAGAGAGGGCTCGCGCCCGAGTGGCAGGCACCTGGGTCGCTCTCGTCTTCCAAGGGGGGCGAGTCGCGTGGTGACGAGCAAGGTTTGCAGGAAGCTTACGGTCAGGAGCTCTTGCTGAGCGTGTCGCGGCGGCCCCGGCGACGCTCTACACCCCGCGAAATGCTTAAGAAATCATGGGTTAAGAAATTCATAGTCTCAGAACTTGAATAAAAACCCCCAAAAACTATTCAAATCTTAGGATTCACATTGAAACATTAAGAATAAACGAGACTCTGGCCGAAAATTTAAGTTTTCTTAAGCATCGCCTACGGTGTACGCCTTGCAAGCAGGTAGCGCGTCGCTCCGCTCCTGGGGGGCGGGAGGCTCGGAGAGGCTCGGAACGTTGACGCTCGAGAGTGGGGGCACGTGGATGGCGCATCGCTCCCGAAGCGTGGTGGGCGCCAGAGCCGGCGGAGCGACACGCTGGCCAAAAGTTCCCGACCCTGCAGGGCAGGTCTGAATATATGGGATTGTTTCGGGGATGGACAGAACCCCCTTTAGCACAACGTGGTTTAGTGAAAACGACCTGAGGCCCAAACCTGCGGGCGCGAGCCTGGAAAATAACGGCCACGGCGCCCTCTCGAGAACCGAAAACGGACAATTCACTAATCGACGTGTCACTGTTGGGGGTTCTGTCCACCCCCGATTGTTTTTAACATATATGATTTTTCATACATGACCCATTTATGTACGAATGCATTTATGCATGAACTCGTCCCTGCGTGTTGAATACATGATCCGCACGCGGAGCATGTATGGAAAACGGCACTGTATGTCCGTACCCACTCCCGCGGGGACGTGTCCCAGAGACTCGGGGAGCGGCGGCTGTGGGCAGCTGCCCGCCCATACGCAGGTGCGCAGACGCCCACGTCCTGTCCATCGCTCGGACGTCCATTCCCTGTGTTTTTTTCGGTTTCGTGCGTGTTTTTTTCGCCGAATGGTCGAGGATGCTCCTCGATGGTCCTCGCCGAAGGAAAAATGCACACGCCCGAGCGATGCCAAGTTCCCTAGGGGGACGACAAGTGGCACAAACACGAAGACTCGGAGGTCCGCGCGGATTTCTTGGATCGGCGCTAGGGCCCCCTCCCTGGCGCGGGAGCGCGCCAGGGGCGGCGCTGGAGGCGCCGCCAGGGGGCCCCAGCGCCGATCCGAGAAATCCGCGCTGACCTCCGAGTTCTTATGTTTATGTCACTTTTTGTTCCCCTATTCTCACGAGGGGCGAACCTTCTCCTCGCCCGCGCCCTCTCGCGGTCTGGATTCCAGGGCGCGGGATCCCGCGGATCACGCGGTCGCACGGATATACTCTCCGCGCAGGGGGGGCAAAACGCCCCTCGGCCGAGAGGGCCGCGGGCCGCGGGGCCGCGGGCACGGCTCTGTGCGCTTCGCCTGCGACTTCGAGGGGGCCCCAGGGACACACAGAGAAATACACACACACGTCCCAGGATTCCCCCCCACCGCCCATATTTTCCCATACTCTCCTGGGGACCGACGATTCATTGTATCGGTGTTGTTGCCCCCTCCTGAGACTTCCTGTATCGAACTGCCGGGAGGTCCTGGGCGGAAGTGGGGCTTCTGGGAGCGGCGCGCGAGCGACGCCGCCAGAAGGCTATCGGGGCGCCCCCGGCGAGGGCAAGGAGGCCTGGGCGGCGAGAGCGCGACTCCGGAGCAGATTCTGAGGAACTCCGGTGGCGAGAGCGCGGGAGTACATTGCAAGGAACTCCTGGGCGAGAGCGCGACTCTGGAGGAGGCTGTGGGGAGGTCTCGGGTGAGAGCCAGCGCTGTCGCAGCCGGGGGTCAGCAGACACAGTTTTTGAGGGCGCAGACGATCCCTGACGATGAATGAGGTGAAAGGGCCGAGAGCTCGCTTCGATTCAACACACCGACCAGGGTGACCCAAACTGCTCGCTCTTGCAACTCTACTAGCGTTTGCCACTAACCCAGATTCCTAGCTTCCCACCGTCTTCGTATTCAATCGTACCCCCATTGGGATGATTCGTTCTCCTTACGGGGGTGGGCGAGCTTAGACACGCGAGCGGTAGACCCTCCTGCCGCTGCTGCTGTTCCCCTTCCTCCTCATCCCCCTGCCTCATCCCCCTCCCCCTCCCTCCAGGGCTGGCACAGCCGGGAAGAGCTGGTGCCGCTGCCGAGTTCTTGCGCGGACCTGTCAGGCTTCGACTGTTTGGCGGGGGGGGGTTATTTGGGCCTGACAGAGTAGGTGGTCGTTCACTGCCCTGGGGGTGTTTCGGCATCTACTTCCGAGCTGGCTCGCCTATCGCTTGCCTCCTCCCTCCAGTCCTAGCCTCCCGCATAGCGAAGTGATCAATCAACCCGCCACCAGGCCCGTCATTTCGTGCAAAGGCAAGGGCAGATCCGCGAGCTCCTGGAGGAGACGGGCCGGCGGCAGCTGCGACGAACTCCCGGCAAACTCTAAGACTTGAACTCCTCCGCAACGTCCTCCCATGCAAAGCCGAGGTCCGAGAACGGGTCCTCAAGAGGGCCGCGCAGCCCCCACCACATGCCAAAGAGTTGCGAAGGGCATGAGTATAGCCAGAAGAGCCCAGAGAAGTCGTCCTCAACCGTGGTAATTCCCATCGCATCTGTGATTATGCCACCGCTGATAAGGCACAGAGCCGTCATCACAGAGCCCACCAGCGTACCAAGAACCCCATGAATGAAGAGGGACCAAAATGCCGCCCATACTCCAGAGAGGATGCCCCTAGAGGAGACCACGGCCTGCGACGTATCATGCACTTCGACCAGCGATGAGCCGTCAGTGCGATTCATCGCTTCATCCAGACCGCGCTCATCTTTCGCAAGCGCCTCATCAACGATCTTCGCGGCGCCCTCCTCCTCGACAACCTTCTCGAAAACACGGTCCACTGCTTCTTGGGACAACCGACCCCCCGCCGCACGCCGCAGAGCAATCTTTACGTTGGCGGAAGCGTGTTGAGCCTTTCCCGCCGCCTCCAACGCCATCTGCTGCTGGTGCATCTTACCGCAGAAGCCGGGCAGGGACGGGAGCCGACCAAGAGCCTGCAAAGCCTTGCTCTCAGTCTCGTTGAGCCCGCCCGTCGAGATCAAGTACCTGGCGACCTTGAGGAAGCCCGTCGAGATCTGTGCACCAACCGCAGGTGGCAACAACGCCTCGCATTCAGAGACGCCTCCCATACGCGCCTCGGCTCTGGCTGCGTTTGGAAGCATCTGATTAGAAGCTACACGGACTTACGACGACCTACCAAACAACCCGTACCCAACCCGAAGGCGCCGTTCAGTTTGTCAGTGTCCTGCGAGGGGACACTCTGGAACGTTAAGAAAGTACGATGGATGCCGTACACCCCCCAACCCGAAATTTGTCTGGTGCCTTCGCGTAGGGTTGGGATGGCACAAGAATTTAGAGCAGATAGGTCTGCAACAGGGACTTTCAAACACAGCCAGCCTTCGCCGACGCCTTGAAAAGAGCCCGGACCAAGAAACCGAACACGGAGCCGATCTTCCGCTGCCGCGCGCCGCACGAGGCGCTCATGAAGCCGAGGGCGCTCCCGCACTCCTCCTCCTGCTTGATCAGCTTCTGCTCCAGGACGGCCGCGGAGGTGACGACGAAGGCCGCCCCCTGCCCTGGCTCCAGCATCGCCTCGTCCGTGTAGCGGCACGCCTTCTCGCAGCTCCCGGTGAGGCGGTGGCCCAAGCGCGCCCCTGCACGCTGCAGGTACGTCAAATTGAGGGCGCTCGAGTACGGAAGGCAACCGCTGGGGCATGCCCCTCCGTCCTCCTTCGGGCACGTGTCCCAGAACCTGCAGCCAGACGGCCCACCCGGGCAGGCCGCGCTGTTGACGCGCGCGCCGTACCTCTCCAGATCCGCACTCACGGGGTCGCAGCGATCGCTTGCGACCTCTGCCTGCACGTTCATCCGCGCCGCGAGGGAGCGGCGGGCCAGGAAGAGGATCAAGGAGGCGGCGAGGCTGCAAGACATGTGTCGCGCCATGCTCTGGCCGGCTGGCAAGGGCGGGCGAATGAGGTGGGAACGGATCGGATGTGTCAGTCAACGCACAACGGATTGTCTTCTGAGTCAAGATGGATACGGAACCGACCGGCATAAACAAACGAACACGAAGGTGCATCTGACGCCCGCAGGTGTAGACAATACTGAGAGCTTGTTCTGGACCTGTCAGCCCCCAAGGGGATAAAACCAGAGCGCGCCGCTGGCTCCTGGCCGATCACGCACCCTGAATTCAAAAACGCTCACGCCTCGGTCCTACTCCCACCGACCACGAGGGTCTGACAGGTGCTGCAGCCCACACGCGCCGCGGCGACTCGTAATATTTATGCTGATGCCGATCACGGCCATCTTCCAGGCGCGGCGCGTGCTGGCGCTGCCACAGGCCAGCTGTATGAGCTTCTTGCGTGTCAAAGCCATAGAGGCCTGCGACGCCATGTTGGCGCCGCACTCTCCTCTGTCATCGGCCATTGGCCCATTACCGCTCGGTACCGCCCGCCCCCACTTGTCGCTACTCTCCCTACTTACGTAGAAGAGGAAAAACAGCATACATATAAACTGTTGATGCTCCGCTCGGACTTCTTGGACCTGCGCTGGACCCCCCTCCCTGGCGCGCGGAGCGCGCCAGGGGCGGCGCTGGAGGCGCCGACAGAGGGGGGGGGCCAGGCGCGGATCCGAGAAATCCGCGCGGAGCGCCAAAAGTTTGTGCTTCAGTCGTTTTCTTCTTCGAAAAACCGCCCAATGCCGCTCGTTGAGCAGGGACCTACCGTCCCGACATTTCTATAGTCCTACCACGACATGTTCTTAGAACCCAAAAATGTTCCAAGAACAAACACCATGTTCTCAGAACATTACCCCGATGTGTTCAACCGAGACAGTCACAGCCAGGAATGCTCTGTGAACTTTTCCTGGAAACCGCAAAGGGTTCCTAGAACACTGTTTGGTAGGGCTCTGGGCACGCCAGGACGCGTCGCCACCGCTTGACGCTCGCCCCCACGTGTCGTTACTCTCCCTGCTTGACTACCTACCAGACCACCCCAACCCGACCCGAAGACCCGAATTTCGGGTTGGGGGGGGTACGGGTTCCATATGTGTTTTCTCGATGTTCCCCGACCCCCCCCAACTGGAAATGGAGGGCAAATCGAGACCTTCGGGTTGGGTTGGGGTGGTTTGGTGGGTGGTGACTGCTCACGTTCCGTTCCCGCGAGCGGCGCCAGGCCGGCGGAAGCTCTGGCCGCCGGCCCACCGCCGCCCCGCGAGGAGCCCGCCGCCGCTCTCCGGCCCCCGCCGGCCTTCCGCCGAACACCGAGGACGATCAACGACGCGGCACTCGAGGAGAAGGAGGAGGAGGAGGAGGAGGAGGAGGAGGAGACGGAGGAAGGGGGGAAGGAGGAGAAGGAGGAGGAGGAGGAGGAGGAAGAGGAGAGTAGAAGGAGGAGGAGGAGGAGAGGAGGAGGAGGAGGAGGGGGGAGCGGGGGAGGGAGGAGGGGGAGTAGGAGGGAGGAGGAGGAGGAGGAGGAGGTGATTAAGAGGACGAGGAGGAGGAAGAGAAGAAGGAGGAGGAGGAGGACGAGGAGGAGGGGGAGGAGGAGAAGGAGGGGGCGGAGGCGGAGGAGGAGGATCAGCAGGAGGAGGAGGAGGGGAGGAGGGGGAGGAGGAGGAGGAGGAGCAGTAGGGGGAGGGGGAGGGGGAGTAGGAGGAGGAGGAGGAGGAGGAGGAGGAGGAGAAGGAGGAGGAGAAGGAGGAGTGGGAGGAGGAGAAGAAGCAGGAGCAGCAGCAGCAGCAGCAGCAGCAGCAGCAGCAGCAGGTGGAGGGGGAGGGCAATACTCGACCACCTCGCGGACGTCAAGGATGCTGCTCCCGTCCCCGAGCGCTCTCGGCGCCCGAGGAGCGGGGGCTTTGAGGGTCCCCGCTCCTCGGGCTGCAGTGCTCTACAGCCCTCCTCGAAATCAAACGCGAGGTTACAATGTTGGTCGACGCGCGAAACGCGGCCCACGGTGTCAGCTGTTTGTGTCTGCAGTCGCAAATGTCGGCGCGAACAGAATTTGGGGGTCCTGGGGCGCCGCCACATCGCGGATACAACTTGCGTGTGATTTTCTCGGGAGGATGTAGGGTACGCCAACGTCTTGGAATATCTTATAAATGCTTAACACGAAGACATTGGCGCACCCCGGGTCACTGCAGGCGTTCGGGGATTGCTCCCAAGGTGCCCCTGGCCCACAGTGCCCCAGGCTTTTCGCTCCATTGGGGAGCCCCTAGGACCCGCTGGGCCTCGTGAGGGACGCTCTGGAGGCCGCGGGGGCCTTCTTGGAAATCCTGGGGGCACCTTGGGCCAAGGGCACTTCTGGCAGCACCCGACGAGAACACTGAAGCCGTGGGTCGAGCCCCTCTCCCTTCTTCGCTCCCTCTGGCTGGATCTCTCAGGAGTCCTGGCCTGCAGTGTCTTGGTCGCGGGGGCCCCGACTTGAGGGGCAACGCTCGGGGGGGGGGGGACTGGCTCAAGGCCGCGAAGAGATCGAGCTTGAATCGGCGAGGCCCCCTCCGCAGACCTCACCTCCGAGGACCTGCTGCCTTCGGGCCTCCGGGCCCCCGGCCTCTCGGCCCCCAGGGGGACCGCCGGCTCCACCCGAGCCCCGGCCCCCTGCCGCCGGCACGAAGCCCGGCGGCGGCCTCCCGAGGCCGAGAGGGTGCCGACGGGCCTCGGGCTCGAGCCTCGCGAGAGCGCCCCTGGGAGGGCCGGGCCCTTCCCCGGCCGCAGCCCTCCGCCCTCCAGCTCCCAAGACACCCTCCGGCAGGGCCTTCTCGGCCCGCGGCCTCCGAAAAAACACACACAATTGCGCGCACCACGGCTCGCAGAGTGGCGACTCGCCAGTGGCCTGGGCACCCACCGCGTCGAGGCGGAGAGGCCGCACGACAGCGGACAGCGCGCCATTGCCTTGGCTCACGTTTGCGAGTAGGCGCTTTGGGAGCAGTGGGCCGCGCTCGGTGAGGAAAGCTCCCAGCCCTCCCCCTGGGGGGCAGCTGTTCCTCCGGGAGCCGTGCCTGATCGGTGGCCCTGCGGCCCGACGCCACAGGCCCCTGGAGACCGAGCCGGAGGATCGGAACGCCGCGGCCGACAGAAAGCATGCTGTCGGAGCTGCAAGCTCATGCCTCCAACGTAGCGACTTGTAGTCGACGAGGGCCCCCCCCCTCGACCATCGCCCCGCCCCCCCCCCCGCCCCCCCTCGACCAACCCCCCTCGATCCTCGATCCCTCCCCCCCCCTTGACGACCCCCCGCCGGCGCGGCCGCGGTCCCCCGCCGCCGCTGCCGCTGCCCCTCCCCCCCCCCCCCTTTCACCGGCGTTGCCGCCGCCGGTCGAAATGAGCGGGAACGCCAGCGGGGGCAATGACTCAAGAGGGGGGGAGAGCCTCGACCTGAAAACGGCGATGCATCGGCGACGGGCTCCCGATGGCGACGCCGCCCGCACGCTCCCGGGATGGGTGGGCACGCAGGCGCGCTATCGGGGGCCCCTCCCGGCGATCAGTGGGCGAGCGGGGATCGATGCACCGCCCCCCCCCCCTCGGAGCCTACGCATCCCCCCCGAACGTTGCACCCTCGTCTTCGGGTCAAACGTAGCTCGGCTCTCCAGCGGCCGCTCCAGACGACCCTGGCACCCCTGGAACGCTCTCAGCGAGGCTCAGCTGCTGAAGAGCAACCCTGGGCTGGAAAGCAGCCGGGAACCGACGAAAACGACCTCGAACCTCGAACCTCGGACCTCGAGCCCCCCTCGAAACTCGAGCCTAGGTGAACAAAAAGTGGCATAAACATAAAAAAATCGGAGGTCCGCGCGGACCTCCGAGTTTTTATGCTTATGTTATTCTTCGTTCCCCTAGAGCCCCTTCCCCCACCCACCCACGTCGCCCCTGGACTCCCCCCGCCCCGCGCGACCGCCGCCACCGCTGCCGGCACAAGGCCGCTGGCAAAGCGCCAGCCGCGAGGGCCACCGCCGACACCGCCGCAGCCGCCGTCGGCCGTCGCCGTCGTCGTCGGGGTCGCCGTCGCCGTCGTCCGTCGTCGTCGTCGCCGCCGCCGTCGCCGTCGGCCGTCGCCGTCGCCGTCGCCGTCGTCCGTCGTCGTCGTCGCCGCCGCCGTCGCCGTCGGCCGTCGCCGTCGCCGTCGGGGTCGCCGTCGCCGTCGCCGTCGCCGTCGGGGTCGGCGGGCGAGCGGCCTCGAAGTGCGAGAGACCGGAGAGCGCCAGGGCGAGGCGGCAGAAGCCCCCGCGGCCGAGCACCACGTGGCCTCGGTCCTCCCGGCGGGAGGAGGAGGAGGAGGAGGAGGAGGAGGAGGAGGAGGAGGAGGCGGGGAGGAGGAGGGAGGAGCAGAGGCGGAGGAGGAGGAGGAAGAGGAGGAGGAGGCTGAGGGGAGAGGAGGAGGTGGAGGAGGAGGCGGAGGAGGAGGAGAGGCGGGAGGAGGGAGGAGGAGAGGGAGGAGGAGAATGCAGGAGGAAGGCGGTAGGAGGAGGAAGATAAGGAGGAGCGCAGAGGAGAGGAGGCGGAGGAGGAGGAGCAGGCGGAGGAGGAGGAGGAGAGGAGGAGGAGGAGGAGGAGAAGGAGGAGGAGGAAGAGGAGGAGGGAGGCGGAGGAGGCGGAGGAGGATGGCTCCGACGGCGACAACGGCGGCGAAACAACCAACGACGGCGACGGCGACGGCGACGGCAACGGCGACGGCAACGGCGACTGCGACGGCGGAGACGACGTCGAGGACAACGGCGACGACGACGTCGACGACGGCGACAACGACGGCGACAACAACGACGACGGTGGCGCTGGCGGCGACGACGACGACAAAGACGACAAAGACGGCGACGGCGACGGCGACAGCGACGGCGACGGCGACGGCGGCGGCAACGGCGACGGTGACGACGACGACGACGACACCCCGACGGCGACGACGTCGCTGGCGGCGGCGGCGACTGCGACGGCGACGGCGACGGCGGCGACAACGACAACGACAACGACAACGACGATGATGGAGACGATGACGACGACGATAACGACGACGACGACGACGACGACGACGACGACGACGACGACGACGACGACGACGACGACGGCGACGGTGGACGCGGCGACGAAGACGACGACGACGATGACAACGACGACGACGACGACGACGGTCGTCGGCGACGGCGCCGGGCGGGAGGGGGCGTCGTCCGGCTGCGGCACGGTCTCCGCGAGCTGCCTGGCCAGGACGGCGAGCCGTCCGCCCTCCTGTGCTGCGGCACGGGCTGGGGAAGCAGCAGCAGCAGCAGCCTTCATGACACGCCGCCATGGGGAGCCCGTCCTCCTCCTCCTCCTCCTCCTCCTCCTCCTCCTCCTCCTCCTCCTCCTCCTCCTCCTCCTCCTCCTCCTCCTCCTCCTCCTCCTCCTCCTCCTCCTCCCCCCCAGCTTGTGCTTCTGCCTGTGAAGCGTCAGGCCTGCGGGCCGAGACGAAGGAGCAGCACGCTGACGGGCTCGCCGCGGCAGCGTGTCACTCGTGCGATCTCTCCCTCCCGGCCGGCGGCGACCGCGCCCTGCGCCAGGCCAGTCGGGGAAGGGCGGCGGGCGGCCGGCGGTGGACGACGGACGAACGGAGACGGCGACCAATACCGACGACCGAGGGACGCACGGCGACGACGACGAACGACCACGAACGACAGCGAATGATGACGTCGACGACCCGCTCGCCAGAGGCTTCTGCGCATTTTCAAGGGCACTCAAGAACGCGGGCATCCGCTCCGACAGCTTGACGTGCCTGGCCGCGACGACGCCTTTCTCCTCACCCTCGCCCTCCTCCTGCTCCCCCTCCTTTTCCTTCTCCTTCTCCCTTTTCCCGACTGGAAGGGGAACTGACAGGGAGAAGGAGTAGAAAGGAGCCTAACCGTCGCTTCTCGTCCTCACCGTTTTCCTCTTCTGCCTTTTCTTCATCCTCCTCCTCATCCTCCTCATCCTCCTCATTATCATCCTCCTCCTCATCCTCCTTCTCATCATCATCATCATCATCATCATCATCAACATCAGCAGCAGCATCATCATCATCAGCATCATCATCATCATCATCAACATCATCATCATCATCATCATCCTCCTCCTCATCATCATCATCAGCATCAGCATCATCACCAATTATCATCATCAGCAGCATCATCATAGTCAGCATCATCATAATCAGCATCATCATCAGCATCAGCATCAACATCGTCATCATCATCAGCATCATCAGCATCAGCATCATCATTATTGTCATCTCTATGGTCATCGCCATCGACATCGTCATCGTAATCGTCGTCGTCATCGTAATCGTCGTCGTCATCGTCATCGACGTCATCGTCATCGCCATCGTCATCAGCATCGCCATCGTCACCGCCATCGTCATCAGCATCAGCATCAGCATCAGCATCAGCACCATCATCATCATCAGCAGCAGCATCATCATCATCAGCATCATCATCCCTCTCATCCCTCCCTCCCTCCCTCCATCCTCAACCTCATCATTCTCCCCCTCCTCCCCCGCCTCCCGCCCCACCTCACCCAACTCCCCCTCCGCAGACCCTGCGGGCGTCCCTCTCAGGGTTGCCGGGCAGCCACGGGGTGCATGCCGGGGTGCCGTGCTGGCCGGCCGCGCGCGCCCTCTTGTGGCAACCGCCCGTGGTCCTCGAACGACAGGTAGCAAAGGTTCGGGTGGGGGTCATCCAACAGGTCCAGCAGCGAGCCGTCCGCCGCCGCGTCTGGCCTGCAAAGTCCCTCTCGATTGATCACCGCCTCCCACCATCCCCCCATCCCCCTCCCCCTTGCAACTTGTTCCTATCACTCCCCCATGCCTCCCCGTCTCTCCCCTATCCCCCGCCTCGCCCTTCCCTGTCTACCCACCCCTTCCTCCCTGCCCCCCTCCTCCCCTTCCGCAAGTCCCCTCTCCACGCGCGCCTGCCTCTGTCCACCCTGTCTTTCAGCGTCGAGTAGTGTAGAGGAGTAGGAGTAGGGTAGAGTAGATTAGAGCACACTGATAGAGTTACAGTGGGAGCGAAGCAGAAAAGCAGAGTAAAGTGCACTTGAGTTTGGGATGGTAAGAGTAGGTGGGTGTTAGTATTTTAGAGTAGAGCTGAATTGTGTAGAGTAGACTGGGGTGGCGCAGCTGGGACACGCACACATTCAGTAGAACATGTTGCTCGATCACATGCACGCTCCTAACCGCCTTGTACTCGGTGAGCTTCTGCTTGGAGCCGACGTTGGCAGACTCTCGCGGCATGGGCCCTCAGACCTCCTGGGGCCCATTTTCTCTTTTTGGACGCCCGAAATGGGTACGGAAAGAGGGTATAATGCCCAACAACAAATGTTGTCCCAAACCAACAGCGGCCGCTGTTGGGCAGGAGGCCTTCTGTCTCGAACGGACACAGGCCGCGGCGGCGTGGCAGGCGAATCCTGTTCAAAATGAACAGGAGCTGCCGTTGGGCATCGTACCCATTGTTTCCGTACCCATTTCCGGCGTCCAGATCCTCGGCGTCGTCTGCTGATGGCCCCCTGCAGCCCGGGACGGACCTCCAGAGGCCGCTGCCTTGTGGAAAACAGTCGAGCACCGCTGCCTCTCGTGACGCCGAGAGGGCTGGACCCCGGGCCTCAGACGTTGACACCTCCGATCTCTCTCCCCGGGTCCGTCTCTCGGCGGTGGCTAATCCTCCCCTCAGTAAACCTCCCCTTGGTGAAACCGGCCTGGGACCAAAACCGACGGACCTGGCTGGACCCGCAAAAATGACGGCCGCGACGCCCCCTCGCGAGCGAGAACGGCCAATTCCTTGATCGACGTGTCAGGGTAGGAGGTCTGTCCACCCCCGACCGTCCAGTCTAGAAATTCCGTGGGGGGAATCCAGCCGTGGTGGCGGGGGGGGGGCGCCCCTCGAGGCCACAGGAACCACCCCAAAAGCGCGTCGGCCCAAAGCCTCGGACCCCGACGACGACGACGACGACGACGACGACGACGACGACGACGACCGCGACGACGACGACGACGGCGACGACACAAACGATGACGGTTACGACGACGAGGACGAGGACGACGCGGAAAACGACGACTACGACGACGACGACAACGGCAACGACGACGAGGACGACGACGACGACGACGACGACGACGACGACGACGACGACGACGACGACGACGACGACGACGAGACGACGAGACGACGAGACGACAAGGATGAGGAGGACGAGGACGAGGACGAGACGACGAGACGACGAGACGACGAGGACGAGGAGGACGAGGAGGACGAGGACGAGGACGAGGACGAGGACGAGGACGAGGACGAGGACGAGGACGACGACGACGACGACGACGACGACGATCGCGGCGACGGAGGCAGCGGTCGGCGTGGCCCGCTGGGCATGCTCGGGACCGCGGCCATGCCCCCCTTGCTCGCCGCCATCGAGCTGCCGGCCCGCCACCCCTTCGTGGACATTGACATGCTCTGGCTCGGGGACAGCAGATCCTGCCGGGCCCGGTGGAGAGTGGATGGGGAGGAGGGAGGGGAGGGAGGGAGGAAGAGAGGGAGAGAGGGAGAGGAATGAGGGGGGGAGAAGGGTGTCGCCAGTCTGTCGCCCCCCACCTGGGTGCTGAGAAAGACCCTCCTCAAGGGCGCACCCCCCCGGTCGTGCTGTGACAGGGACCTCCCGTCGATACGCCTGGGCCCTGGTGGACACCAGACCTAAAACGAGTCTGGTGCGGGGGCCGCATATTCAGAGCACGGAGGAGGGAGAGAGGGAGAAGGCTAGGCGGGGGAAGGGGGAGCAAAGGTGCGTGTGTGCGTGCGTGTTGTGTGCACGCGTGCGTGCAACCGCAAGCTGTTAGCGCAGCGTTCAAGCAATCGGTCTTGCGAGTTCGTCGTCTGCGCACCTTGCCGTCCGCGATTTGGCAGCAGAGACTGCGAGGGTTCGAAATCGTGCATCTTCCTTCACGGCCAGCGGTGCTCATCGAATCCTGTCAGATTCGGTGACCTGCATCTGGGCCGCTCGATTGGATACCATCGGGCTGCTAACGCGAAAGTGTGAGTGTGCGTTTGTGTGCGCGTGCTGCCTGAAGGCCAAGAAAGAGAGAACGCGGAAACCATTGAAAAGCCTAAGTGAAACCAACCAATGCTATCTCTGGAGGCCATCCTGGGGACCCTCTTGGGGCTGCCAGAGGGCGTCATGTGAGCCTCGAGCGCCGTGTGGAGGCCACCTTCGACGGTCCAAGAGCGAGTTTGGGCCGCCTCCAGCGGTCATGGGCTGTCCAGGACCGCTCTGAACGCCACCATGGCGGCTCCGACAGCCTGGCCAGAGCGTCCCAAGCCAAGGGAGGTCTTGGGAGCCATTTGGGCCGTCTTGGGGCGATCTGGGACACCCCTAGGCCCGTCGTGGGCTGCCTGAGACCCGAAGAAGCGAGAACGCGGAAATCGTCAAACAAAAACAAGAACTAAGGGAAATCGACGACCGCTGCCTCTGGAGACTGTCTGGGACCCTCTTCTGAGAGCGTCACAAGAGCTTGGGCCGCCTCGGGCCGTCTTGGACCGTCTGGGACCGATCTGGAAGCCGCCATGGCAGCTCAGAGGTCCCAGCAGGAGCGGTCTGGGGGGCCGGTTCGCTGCCACTGGACTTCCTCTTCGCGCGCACTGCTCCCGACACTGTAGGATGGATGACGCTGCGGTCCAGCTTCGTCTCCCTCCTCTCGCAGAGCAGAACGAACGCCCGCTGTCACCGCTCGCGCTTCTCGTAAGCGCTGATCCCAGCGTTGTAGCTGATGACGTCGGGCTCCACATTCGCACCCGACATCTCTCTGAACAGCGCCAACGCATGATGCCATTGTGGTCTTTCACGCGAACGCTAATCCCAACACTGCAGCTGAAGACGTCGGGCCCTACTAACGTATCTCAGATCGCGCTGAGTAGCCCTAAAGCCTGCTGTCACAGCGCGATCTTCTCGCATGCGCTGATCACCAAGCTGTAGCTGATGGCGTTGGCCTCCACACTCGCGTCCCACATCTCGCTGAGCAGCCCCACAGCCCGCTGCCACTGCTCGCCTTTATTGCACGCGCTGATTCCCGCGCTGTAGCTGTTAACGTTGGGCTCTACCTTCGCCTCCGCCATCTCGCTGAGAACCGCCAAATCCTGTTGCCACTGGTTGCCCCTTTATGAATGCGCTGCATGCCGTCATATAGTGGCCAAGCTGAATTGTACGCGCAGTTGGAATGCTTCGCGGAACAGTTGCAGCACTGTGATCCATTGGCGTGTCCCTCCACAGTTGCCCATGGTTGCTTCGAAGGAAAGAAAGCGCTGTGTCGGGATCCTCGCCAGATGCCCAGCATCCAAAAAGACACTAAATCACGACGGCGTGAAACAAAATATCTTGACTCAAAATGGCGACTGGGGAAGGAGAGGGCTACGCAGGGGAAAAGGATCGAGGAAGGGAGGGCGGGAGGGAAAGAGGAAGGAGGGGAACGAGGGATGAAGGGGGGCAGGAAGGAGGAAGGAGGGAGGGAATGATGGATGAGGGACAGGGAGCGGGAGAGAACTGGCACCCCCCCCCCTCCGGCCTGGCACCTCGACCCATCAACGTCCGTCCCGCGAGAGACCCGTGCCCCCCCTTCAGAAGCACAAGCTCCTCGAGGCGGGTCGAGCTGTGCGGCGCAGGCGAGGCATCGTCAGCTCAGTTCGATCCATCTCTGCTCCACACATGTTCGCTCGAGACGACACACCTACGGTGCGGAAAGCCCATCGCCCACCGCTCCGCCAGCGAAGCCATGTCCGTGCGCAGAGGCGCGGAGCCCGACCAGGCCCAGCTCCTCCTGGGCGGCCCCCGCGGGGGGAAGAGCTGCCCCGCCGGCGCCTCGAGGCGACTCCGACGCGGGGACCCCCCGACGCCTGCCGCCGTGAGAAGACCGCCACGGCGTGCAGGAAAGCCACGACCGCAGCTGAGCCAATCTTTGTTTCTGCGTTCTTCTGGGCAGCCACCAGCGACCCACCAATACCGAGAGCCGCTCGGAGAATCCCTGGTGGGCGGGCGAATCCGGGAAACACCCGCCACGAGAACCGACGACCCACCAAACTGACAACCCTCGAAACGGTGAGTCGCAGCTATGAGGTCGGTGGGCCCCTGGCCCCGGGTCGCGGGCGAAGAACACATGCATGTCCGCAGCCTCGCAGATCGGGCTCCTTGACCGCGACCCCGCGGACACTGAGTATTTCTGTTCGCGGATGCCCCTCGCGCAACGCATCCGTGCGGCCGCGTACCCAGGCATCCTCCGATATGATTCCTTGCATCCGCGGCCCCGCTGAAATCCCGACCCCCTCCCTGGGGGTAGCTTCTCGTCCCGGCTCCACTCGTGCTGGTCCTGGAGCCCAATGACGGGCCCCAGAGAACGACATCGAGGAAAACGGAAGCCGCCCAGATTGAAAAAAACATACATATCCTCGGAGCGCAGGGCTCGAGTGGGTGATCGCAGAATTGATACGTACCCCAATATTCGAACAATGCGCAGCACGTTTGGCAAGTCGACGGAACAGTCCACGGGTCTTTCGCAAGGTCGGCCGGAACATCAAGTCTGGGGTTAACCAATTAACCTTGCAATCGATCCCCTACAGTCGCCATCTGTAGGAAGGACGGGCGATGAGGACGCGTGGGCCTCGGACGCCGAAGTTGGCACTGGTTGGGCGGCGGACTGCCGACACCCTGCAAGGCTGGCCAGCGAAAACCGCGACGGACGGGCCGCAAAGGGCAAGGACGCAAAGGGCATCCCAGGACGTCCGCGCGGCCTCACTGCGAGCTTTCGCCGTGCACGTCGTTCATGTCTGATCTTGCTCCTTCCTAGTTGTGCTCGCTTCTCACTCTTCCTGGCCCCCCAGTGGCCGGGAAGCGGCCCAGGATGGAAGAATTAGAGATGCAAGGATCTAGGCCCCCCCCCAAAAAAAAACCAAAGAACTCTCGCGAAATGAAAGATCAACAGCGTGTAGAGTCGACCTCCTCCTCCTCGCAGGGCTTCCGCGGGCCCGCGCCCCGGCGCCCACGCCGCGAGGGCGTGGATGAAGGGGCCCTGGGACACACAAATAACTACACACAAATAAGAAGACCCCCCCATATGTTCCCATTTTTTCTGGATTTTTGCCTTCCCCCCCACTTCCCGTATTTTCCCATATTTTCTGGGGAGTCGACGATTCATTGTGTCTGTGTGTGTGTTTTTCCCCTCCTGAGTGGAGGGCTTACCCTCGGCGGCGCCCGCCGCCCGTGCCCCCCTCCCCCGGGTCTTTCGCGGAGGGGCGCGCCCACCGCCCGCGAGGCAGCACACGAGCCGCCCGGCGCTGCGATGAAGTCGGGCCTGTCCCCCATGCAGGCCGACTTTTTGAACGAAAAACTGTAAAAAAAATAGTCACCAAAAGAATGCCCGAAGATACCCCAAAATGGTCCAGACATCGTGCCACGACTTCTTTTTGTTACTATGTTTGCAGACTCTTCCTGTGCAGGGACAGGCCCGACTGAACGCTGCGATCTGCCTCCGCGGCGTGGGGCCCCGGGGCCTCCCGACCCCCTTTCCACGAGAGAGAGCAGAAGATCCGCCCCCATCACAGATCACCCTGACGCGCGCAGCCGTTTAGTGAACGCGCCCAAAGGAGGAATCGAACAGGGCAGGGTTGTTTAGTCAAGGCCCAGGGACCGTGGAGTAAACGCCACTTCTCGGGTCTGGGTGGGTGGTCCCCCTTGAAGCAAGACGAGGCCAGAACGAGGACAGAAGCGGGCGAGGATAGGTCGACCATCTCGGAGATTCGGCGGCTTCGGGGGATGTCTCGGGCGCCGCGGCGTTCTCGGAGCGTTCCAGGGCGCTCCGAGAGCGTCCCAGCATGCCGGGGAAGTAGGGAAACGAACTCTATACACCGACGCTTTTTCCGACCCTGCGCCGAAATTCGCACAGGAACGCGGATCCTGGTGTATACGGGATCCTGGTGTATACCTTTGTCGCTGCTTCCCTTGGGAAAGCGGGGGGAAAGTATACACCACACCACACCGACGTCATCCCCCACCCTCAAAAAGAAGTCTTGGGACTGAAAAAACAGCCCGCCACCGGTAATGCATATGTTCCAGTTTCCGAGGAAGGGCTGCATCTTACCAGCCTGGAACAGATCCCTATCCCTAAGCTGGGCATCGCCTCATCGCGATGCCAATCTTAGGGACTCCCTCAGTTTCTCAGGGCGCATCCCAAAGATTGTCATCGCCTTTTGGCGTGTCACTCTCAGGGATGGGGACAAGTTCGAGGCTGGTGAGCCTCCCCGTCCTGGCCCCGTCCAGCCCTCCCCCCCTTCTCCGCGGCAGGCCACATGCGAACCCGACCCCTAATAATTACCCCCCTCAAAAATCGTGGGGGGTAGGGGTAGGGTTCGCATGTGGCCCCCTAAAGTCTTGGGACTGAAAAAAACAGCCCGCCACCGGTAATGTAGATGCTCCAGCTTCCGAGGCAGGGCTGCCT